ATCTCTTGCTGCTGCTTATCCATGCTGCTGATTATCTCTTGCTGCTGTATTCTTTCTTACCCATCTGCTCACTACAGACTCATGTTCGGTCTGCTGTTTAATACACTGTATTATTTTACATTATTAGTGTTTAGCGTATATCTTAGAGCCTTATATACTGGTTATTTTTACACTTTATGGTTTTGCTATTTTTGGGTGTAACTGGGACCCTGGGTACTTAATTTCGTTCCACCTCATGTATCACATCTGATGCGAATGACAATACACTTGAACTAAATGTTCAAAGAAACACCAGCTAAGAGAAACTGAACGTCATCTGAACCTCAAAGAAACAAAGCTAGCTTAAAGCTAAATTTGATCAACTGCTGTTCAAACGCTAAAATGACCAAATGCTTACTAAAATGAGCTTAATATTAGCTAAAGTTGGCTAAAGACTAGCTTAAAATCAAAGACAACAAAAGAAGCTAAAAGTTCCAAAAGTGCATCTTTAGCTAAAGGTAGCAAGAAGCTACATCAAAGCTAAAAGTATCATCATTCCTACATGTGTCCAGTTAATCACTTTTATTGTCTGTCCAAACAGGTCTCTTGTAAATGAGTCTTTGAGGCTCAATGTGACTTATCTGTTTAAATAAAGGTTGAATGAAAAAATCATAAAGCACGCTGAAAATAGCAAAAGGCTAGCTAGAAGCTAAATGTAGCATAGGGAGCAGCTGAAGCAGATTTCTTAGAGAACCATTTTTTACTGGAGAGACCTGGTATTTCTGAGGAAAATATTTGTAACTATAGTAAAAATATCAAATCCAGCACACAGCTCCTGAATCAGCTGAAAGATTTAAAGTGTTGACAAAACAAGAAAACAAAATGCTGAGTCAGCATTTTTACTGGCTAAGATTATTAAAAAAAACAAAACGAAGAGAAATAATTAAATTATAGTCAGACAAATATGCTTTATTCTGTTAAGACTTTTTCAAACTTTGTGTCCACTGGTAGATTTTTAGACTTTCCTGTAATCTGTTGAAGAGGTCCAGATCAACAGTTCTGCAGAACCTCTCAAGCGTCTTTTATTTTTTAACTTTAGCTGATTATTCTCAGTTCTTGTAGCTCAACGATCTCATTAAAGTTGCCCTCTTAGCTCAGGTGGTGGTGGAGCTGCGTCCACATAGCGTTGATTCTTCTTCATGTCCTCTCAGGTCCCCTGCACAGCCCGTCTTTAATCAGAACCAAAGGGGCGGGGCTAACATGGCAGCCAAAGCAGGAGACGACCCGGACAGCCTCATGTCTTTGGCGACGGTCTTCTGCCTAAGGAACCTGAGGAAGACCATGTGTTACCAGGGACCCAGGAGCCGGCTCTGTCTGCGCTCCGACATCTTCCTCCCCAGTGAGATCTGTGACAAGCTGGTCAACACGTACGTCCCGGACCGGTTCTGTCCATGTGGGTCAGGCCTGTCTGTTAGCACAGCTTCTCATGGTTTGTCTCTCTGTGAGCAGGTACATGGAGCTGGTCCACACAGACAGTCACTTCGAACCAGAGGAGAGCTTCTTCCAGCTCTTTTCAGATCCTCGCAGCACCCGGCTCACCAGAGTCCAGCTCAGAGAGGAGTTCGTCCGGGACCGGGACCTGGAGGCCATCCGTAAACAGGTGGGGTCCTGTCAGCTTAAAAATCTCTTCTGGATTATCTTCAGCTTCGTGGAAGAATACAACCAGAAAACAGCCGAACCAGTATTCACCATGTTGTTTCCCTTGAAAGTTTCTTCTTCTTCTGCAGACTTTGTGCTGTTTTAGCTGTTTATTTATTGAAACCTTCAGCTCTTTCAGCAGATGGCTACTGCCAATTTTAGATTCTACAACTTTTATGTTTTTAAAATATTAAACTTCAATAACAAACATTTTCCCCATAGAAAGACATTGAGATCTCTTCCGTTCTTGTCAAAATCTGTTACAGCTACTAGCTGCTTTTAGCTACAGTGTGTCCCCTATCGTTATACAAGCAGGGCGCCCCGCCCCATCAACACAACTGAGCTTCCTGCCTACCGAACAAACCCTACCCCCTGTCCACAATTGCTGGCACTGGCGTAGCACTAAGCTAGCAGCGTGCAATACAGACGTGCTAACTTAAAATCTACGTAGCATTTGTTTCCCTTCCCTCGTGCCCCCGTCCCCACCGCTCAAAAACCGTCAGTATTAACAGCGCGCTACACAGACGTGTCTCAGTCTTCACCGTCTCCAACAACACCCCCCGTCGACAAAAATCATGGAAGACATGAGCACCCTGCCAAGGCAAGTGATGTAGGGGAAACATTTTGCTACTTTTATTTTTAGCTACATGTCTGCTAATTTTAGGCTTCATTTTTCTGTTTTAGCTTTAACATCTGTTTGCTATTTTTTAGCTTCCATATCGGTTTTATTAACTTTAGCTACTGT